TCTTCCTGCCTCAGCTTCCCAGAGTGCTTGGATTACAGGCATGTGCCACCACACCCAGCCTCAGCAATTTTCACGGTCTTATGGTGATAACTTATATAACTTATTTCTCACATTACCCCTGCCATAGCAGGGGTCAGTAATTTTTTCCTTAGAGGCCAGATGGTAAATATCTCAGGCTTATAGGTGAGAAAAACTCTGCTGCTCAACACTGACCCGACCCTACCACTGAGCACAGAAACAGTCATCTTCCACACTAATGAAGGAACATGGCCTTGTTTCAGTAAAATTTAAGGACATTGAAATTTGGGCTGCACATAATTTTTATGTTATGAAATATATTTAATTTTTAAAATATTGAAAACACATACAACATATCCTAGGCTTGTGGCCTGCAGAAACACAGGGGCAGGCGGTATGTGCCTGGGACCAGGAGATGCTCGGGCTGGCCGAGACTGCAAGGCGGTTGTAGCCATTTTATTCATTTCCCCACTGGCTAGGGGCAGATTTCAGAGTAATCAAAGCCTGAACTTAGGTTCCAGCTGTATTTTGCATTGTACTCATAAAGAACAGACGTGGCCCTGCCGGCCTGTCCCCTCTGTAAACTATATTTTTTTACTGGCATGCTCAGTGTTGATCTTAATTCTTTGCCTAGTGATACAGTGTCCTCAAGAGAGAGATCACTGCGGGGCAGGTTTGTCCATCACCAAGACCTGCCGGGGAGACTGCAAGGACTGAGACTGTAATGGTCATTCTAGGCCCCCAGATGTCCACCTGCAAACAGGTGGGCTCGGCCTGACTGGCCTGTGACTTGACGGTTCTTGTCCCCCGGGGAAAGACAGAAATGCTTACATTGCACGTGCTCAATCCCACTTCCTTTCTGCAAAAGCAGTTACAGCATGTTTTGAAATTTATATAACGTTTTCACATCCATTACCTTTATTTCCCTTTGCATTTTTCCATTCTTACAAAACACAGGTATGATTAACTCAAAGCAGAAGTAAAATGATTGAGTGCAGAAAGTGTCACAGAGAGTAAGTTCTGAGCTTTGAGCTGAAAGGGGGAGGTGCCGCGCTCTTCCACCACTGCATTTCTGACCAACTACATGATGTGGGCCAAAGTCATACTCAGAATGTAATGCCTCAGTGTAGTTTGTTTCAAAATTCATTATGAAAATACAATATCTGGATGCCAAAGTCATTTTTTGTTTGCTTGTTTTTGTGGTACTGGGGATTGAACCCAAGCCCTTTGTACTGAGCTACCTCCTTGGTCTTTTTTTATTTTTTCTTTTGAGACAGGGTCTCACCAAGCTGCTAAGATCCCAGGCTGGATTTCAACTTCTGATCCTCCTGCCTCAGCCTTCCTGAGTGCTGGAATTACAGACATGTGCCACCACATCGGGCTTCCAGCATTATTTCCGAGCTGGTTTACAGATCTGCAAACTCTCTGAGATCACCAGCAGGTATTTTGAGAGTGGTATCACAAGAGTCCACCTTCAACTAACTCCACTAGAAGCTGTGGTGGGGCCTCCTCTCTCCTCTAGCAGGTCTCACAGGTGATGCTAAGAGCAGCCAGGGCCAAGATCACTTTATCTCTGGCCTCTCTGTGCTCTGGTTCCTCATGACTCGCCTTCTCCTGGTCACCAACACCCAATCCACGACTGGCTCAGCCCAGGGAAGCCTCTGGCCGAGGCAGAAGGTAAACTAGTTTTGTAAGCGGCCTTCCACAAACCACTGCTTCTAAATAATTGAAGTCATCTTTAAAACATGGAGCTCAAAGTGTAACTTAATTCACTGGGAGTGAGTAGGGAAAAGGAGCAGAGACGAAGTACACAGGTTGAAGCTAATTAAAATAGCACATAAATGTCATATAAAACCTTTCCAATTTATAGTCATAACTTCAGATCCCCCTAATTCCATGCCATCCTACTGCTCACTGATACAAAAGATAACATTTTGAGATAGCAGTGTTGGTCATTTCTCTTACTTCTCTACCTGCCTCCTTCTGAGAGATGGACTGCTGATGTGAACATAAGAAAATTTAAAGATGTGCTTTGGCCTTAAAAGTTTAGCTCTTCCAATCCCAACTGGTTTAGCTCCTTACTGAAACCAAGCAATCATGCGGACACAAAAACACCCTCAGGTCAAAGTAATAAGAAAAGCTTAACACGCTGGCAAGCTACAGCGCTGTGCAGAGTTGGTTTAAGGATAAGGACAATGTATGAGAAGTATATTGAGTTCCTAAGAAGAAAAACCTCAAAACACACTGCCTATCATTAAAATGTTTTAAGTTCTCTATAAAAATAACATATTATTTCTCAAATTATAGTGGCCTCAAACAGTGAAGGGGGAAAAGTGTTCTTTCCAAAATAGAAATATTTTTCCACTACTTCTAAACCTATCAATTTTGAAAGCATTCAGTAGTTTCTTTAAGATTCTTAAGGAAAATGCTCATGATACAACTGGATACCACCAGGCACAAGTTCTGTGTGCTGGGTTCTTGTTCATTATGTTTTTATCTTATTTTATTATTATTATTGTTGTTATTATTTTGTTTATTGAGACAGGGTCTCACTATGTAGTTGAGACTGATGTGGAACTCACTATGTAGACCATGCTGGTCTTGAACCCACAGCAATCCTCCTGCTTCAGCCTCCTGAGTGCTGGGATTACAGATGTGCGCCACCATGCCTAGCAGTTATTGTATTTTAAAAGTAGAAAAACAATTTTATCAACTAAATTGAAAAGGCATCTTATGGGGAATCAACAATAATTTTGGTGAGCAGGTGACAATATGGATTAGTAGCTAACCTTGCAGAGTAGATTGTCAGGAGCAATTCTACATAATTTTGGGGAAAAATCATTTCATAATTAAAAGTTATGATTAGGCCTAGTTTTCCTGCCTACAGGCCAGCTAAGGCATGTGGAAACATAACTGTTTTTGCCTCCAGTCACAGCTCTGACCTCAAGGGTCCCATATGAGGCTGTGATGCTCCAGGGTAGGACACCAGCTGGAGACATTCTAGGCAGGAGAAAAATATTTGTCTGCATAAGTTCCTCAGCCCTCTGAGTCATCTGTTACTCCCAATGAACTGAATAAAGGTGTGGCAAGCTTGGGGTCTTTTGTCTTTGCTGTTCACAGCAGCACTGATCAGGCCCAAAGCTCAGCATATTCTCTAAGTCTCATCTCTATCTATATATTAATTAATTTGCCTTGTGCTGTTGTGGCTCACAGGAGACCAGGACTCACTGCAGGAGTCTAGTAACATTCCCCTCTTCCTGTTTCGTAGTGGATACTAGTCTGCAGAGTATGCACAGGTAGAGCAGCGCCCCCGCCATTTCCACAGCTGCCCCCTGAATTTGGGGCTAGCCACTTTCACAGAAGAGGACACCAAGTCTGTAGGAGGCTAAAAGCCGGAAATGAGTGTGTGGGGGGGTTTCCTCCCTTTAGACTCTTTGCTTATGTAAAACTTAATTGAATAAGCAGTTCAGAGTATGGACTCTAACCTAGCCAGGCTTTAAACCTGCATTTGTCCCTCATGTAGCTTTGTGACTTCAGACAAGTAGTTTACTAGACTTCCATTTGTTTAAATGGAGATAATAAAATTAGCTATGTTGTATAAAATTATTGAAAGGGTAAAAGGTGAGCTACAATTACATAAAATAGATTTTTGCCATTATAATCCTGTTCCTTGCTTTATTTCATTTGAAAGAGCAAGTTAGGAAGGAAAACCACCTAAAAACAGACCATTTGACGATCAGTTTATAACAAGACATCAGATCTAGGTATCTTCCTCTCTCCAGAAGATGGAAACTATTCGTATTCTTAGCAACAGAAATTTCCAGATCTCCCTGGGCCCGTTTCCAACCAGCTGGACTAGTTTGCAGCCATGAGGAGGACTGGGCGACCTCTTAAACTGGCAGAGGCAAGCTGGATGATGCGAACATTTCACCCAGAAGGGCTCTTATTTTCATATCATTTGGACGGGAGGGTGGGCTTAGCTGGAGAGAAGACAGACAGGCCCCAGTGTCATGGGCTCAGCTCAACTTGTCCCTGCTCTGGCAGCCTGGGATTACTGGTCAGTGTGTGTAGCTCAGCCTGTACCGCCCAGACGACAGGTGAACATGCCAGGCCTCAAGGGGGCTGAATGTCATCACTCTGGCTGAGCTTCTGCAATCATCTGACTGTGACACTGCACTGAGAAGTCCAACAACTCAGAAGAAGAAAATAAAAACCTAACCAAGAAACACCCACAAGGGGAAAATTCCCTCCTCCTTCATAGCCTAAAACCCAAACAGCTGCTACTCCCAGGTCAAATTACCAACAGAAATGGGAAGGGGTGCCTGGAGCTGGGCTGGATGGGGAACAAGTTACTCACCTGGAAAGCATCAATGGCTTGAGAGCCATGGTAAACTTCTTCCCTCATCACCAGTATTTTGTTAAAGATCACTAAATTTCCAAAATGAGATTTAAAATGGAAAGCAACAGACTCCAACAGGCACCTGAGGCATTAGGTGGACAGGTAACTGAATACTGTTGTCACATGGGTGTGGAGTGGGAAAGGAGTCATGAGAAGGCCATGCCATGGGGCTTTGGACTCATCTAACTGTGTGGCCTACACCAAGAATGGTTTGGGTCACCCAGAGCCAGCTGAAGCAGGACCAGGAGAGGAGGAACATGAGGAAGGTGCAGAAGCTTTCAAAAACCAGATTCAGAAGCCAGGGCTGCTGTCTGCGGACCTCTCGCTGACGTTTCTACCCACAACACGTCCTATTTATCCAGAGTGGGCCGACTGGCTGCACTTGAGGGGGCTGGGGATGGGGAGACCCGTCTGTATGGTCATTCACAGGGCTGTCCTCACAGGCGCACAGTGGGAGAGTCTGTTTCCTGTTCGCATCAAACTCTCAGAGTCCCGAAAGGTTTTCTGGGGAGCTACTTTGGGACAACTCAAACAGACAATTCAACTTATGCATTTGGGTGAGCCTCAGGCCCATGGGACTTACCCGAACTACATAGTTGAATCGTCTGGAATCCAGAATGGCAGTGGAGAAGTCCAGTCTGTTGAAAGCTTCCCCCAGTGTACAATAGCCATGGCGCTGAATGGGAAACAGAGGCAGGCATGTGACTCTTGCCATGCATGCATGCGGCAGTCCTTCTCCAGAATGACCCAACCAGACTCTGTGGAACAGGCCAGACACCTGTCTTAGGTGACCTGGGTACTGGCTTCTCTCCTTCATTGTGAATCCCTGGGAGCCATGAGACAGGTGACAAAGCCCACAGCTTTGATTTGGGCCAAACACATGAAATGTCCCATTTTGTGACTGGTACCACTTGGGTGCATGCTCTGTGCATGTGCTACCGTGGGAAAGCACATCACATGATGTGTGAGAGTAAGATGGCCATGGCAGTGATGCATTCCAGGGAGGAGCATGTGGCCCACCTGCGACATCCTGTCACCACTCCAAGTCAGAGACTCACCCAAGCAGCCCCGCTACCCACATTCACAGGAGCACAGAGATAACAAGAAGCCAGCAGTGCCCTGATGCTCTCACCACGGCCCTGTTTATCAGCCAGCCCAGGCCCATCACTGTGGGACTCTAAAATCTTCCACCCTCTCACCCAGTGCCCTCTCCCCCTGCCTAAACTGCCCCATATCAACCATGAGAACCCTCCTCTCAGTGCCAGAGGCCTTCTTGCTCTTGGCCCATCTACACCAGATGGCAATAAACTTATCGCAAGTTGCTTAGATTTTGTCTGCCTCAGTGGTCTCAATCGTGCGTTGGCTTTGCACTGATGGAACTATTCTCAGTGCTATTATTACAAGTGGTATTTTTTTAAAGCTTCATGAGGAATCAAAAGAAGCTTTGATCATTTATCTACAACTGCACAAAGAATCAAGAGTATAGTTCAACAGTCCTGGCTCTGGTCCGGGTCTCTTGGTGGTTTCAGGTATATCACTGACTCTCTCTGGGGCTGTGATCACAGAGGGAAGCAGAAGTACTCCACATCCGGTCCTGGTTGGTTACAGGAGCCCCACTGTTCTACCCTACTGCCCCGCGTCCTAGTTACCCGAATGCCTGTGCAGAGAGAAAATGTGCACAACAGGGCTTCATCCAGTACTGCACACAGTTGGTCATTATAATAATGCTCCCCCTCCTACTTCATACTGAGCAGGCACAGAAAACTGCTAGACTTAGTGACTAGTCCTCTAGGACTATACCCCAACCAGGCTGACATCCGGAGAGATCTTAGAACAGAAGGGAGGCACAGTCTCTTGGGAAAATCCGGGGCTTATAACAACACAGTTGAGACTGGCACATCGATCCTGGTAAAACACTTCCATGTATTATCTCACTGAGGACCACGGAGCCCACCAAACAGCCTTTCCTTCACTTTCTCCGTAGCTCCAGCCTCTGACAGTTGGCTAGGCATAGGCTACTGACCACCGACACCCACATCCCAGAAGACAGCCAGGATGGTAGTAACACTGCTTCCCAATTTGCCAGCCCAGCCTTGTGAGAGTGACAGGCTAAACATGACGGTTTACTAGTGCTCACCTCCTTAGTACTTCCTTTGTGAACATAGATCCATTTTTCTTGGTGGAAATCTGCAGAGATAAAACAAACATAATAAAAAAACCATACCTTTAATGTGTAACATTCCCAAGATTTTAAATATGAGTCTTTTTCATTTTATCAAAAGCTTTGACAAAAATTAGACTCTGACAGTCTAAAAGGACTCAAATTCTTAATTTCTGCAGTGAAATTAAATTCTACAGTATTTCTTCCAATAAATACCGGACCTATAATTTACCTTGTCTGACATATTTCAAATAGTTGATAGCCAGATTTAGTATATCAGAGAAACCCCCCAAACCTAACACCCAAGTAGAAGTCTGTTTTAAGCACCAAATCTACAACTTACATAAGGCCATAAACATAGAAACAGAATAGATAACATGGAGAAACCATGCAGAACAAATGGATTAAACTAAAATAATCTGTAATTTATGCTTATTAATAGAACATTATATGCTTTGTTAACACATACATGCAGCATCTAGAAATATTAACAATATTTATACAAGAAAAAGCAAGAGCAAATCTATTCTCAAAGCCTCAAAACACAGTTCAGAATCAAAGCACACAGTGGCATGGATTGAGCTGACCATGTCACTTGTAACAACTATGTCATTTATGTCAAAAGCAAGTGACAAGCAGGAGAAAACACCCTGCCTAGTGAGTGACTTACAAACAAGACTACAAAGAGAATGGTCATCTCGCTTGTAAAATGCACAGCCAGGTTTCTGGGTGCAAAGAGCATGGTGATTCTGCCAGTGACACCATAAACATTAAGAGAGATGCCCAACACGGGAGGTGTGGGTCTTTCTTCCAAGGACAGATCCTTGACTATCTTCTAACAACTTTCCTTTTAAGTTCAAAAGAAAAGGCTTACATTGAGTTTTGGCTTTGCTATTCAGTATGTCCTTCTTTCTCTTCTTGGCTGCGACATCATAATTCAGGCTGTTGAAAAGGTTTTCCTTATTGTACACCTCCTTGCTGCAGTAACTGAGTGCAGAAGACAGGAGAGGGTGAGATGCAACCGCTGCACTTTAGTTCCTGCTCTTTTCATACTCACGCTGGACCATGACACCAACCATACATGCTTCTCAAACAAAGTACAACCATAAATAATCACTCAGAAGGGCCCACACAGACATAGACTTCTTTTTTTTTTTTTTTTTTTTTTTTTT